TCTTTTTGCACGAATATGGAAAAAGCCACTGTGGTAAGCTGAATAATGGCCCCTAAAAATGTTCACGTCCTAATTCTTAGAATTTGTGAATATTACCTTACATGGCAGAAGGAAGGTTGCAGATGTGATTAAGTTAGGTATTTTGAGATGGGAAGATTATCCTGGATTATTTGTAGGCCCTACATTTAATCATGAGTGTCCTTATAAAGGGGGAGACAGAGGGAGAAGAGACTGTGGAAGAGGCAATGTGATGATGGAATCAGAGGTGATGAAGGGGAGGAAGATGGAGGAAGGGGCCACCAGCTAAAGAACACAGGTGGCCCCTGGAAGCTGAGGAAATCAGGGGAAACGGCTGCTCCCCTCAGTGTGTCCAGGGGAAACCAGCCTTACCAACACCTCGACTTTAGCCTAGTGAAACTGATCTGGACTTCTAACTTCCAGAACTGTCTGAGAACAAATTTATGTCATTTTAAGCCACTAAATTTGTGGTCATTCATTATAGGGGCAATAGGAAATGAATGTAGTCATCAATAATAATGTTAGTAGTATCTTGGTCCAGCTCATGGAAATTTCCACGGGAGCTGTTTTGAAAACCCTTGCCATACATGGATGACAGTTCTTGGGTTATTAAAAAAGACTCTGCCCTGAGGGCCATAGAGAGAGGACCTTTAGTGTCTAAATGTCCGGGCCCAGGATTCATTCCTGCAGGCTTTAGTCTGTTTCCTTCCCTCAGCTGCCATGGATCGTCATCTGTGCCCTAAAGGTTTGCTTCACTTCCCCTAGCTGTCTTGATTTTTGTCCCATGGGGGCTTCGGGCCTTCCCCTGGGGGGCTGCTGCCTCCCTCCCCTAGGTCTGCCCCACTAGGGAAACTTCGGGACTTGCCCTGTCCCCAGTCTCTCTCTTGAGCACTGGTGAGGTCCCAGAAGAGACTGGGTGGGTGGGTATGAATTTGCCTTGTGCCTGGAGCTCCCAGGAGTTTTGTCTTCTCCAACTAACCCACACTCAGCAATTTGTTAAGAATTTTAGCTGAATTCTTCTTATTAGCTTGTATGACATCTGTCATCGCCAGCAGGTAAGTGCCCATGTCCTGTCTCTCCTTGGAGGAGCCTGTGTTTCCTTAGGTTTGGTGTAAGCTGGTGGCTCTGCAACCACAGCTCTATGGTAGATTCAAGGAAAGTTGCGATTTCATAGATTAGTTAGCAACTTTGGTGAGGTTTTAAGAATAAAAGCAGCCTTGTTTTCTACATCCTAAGAGGAAGCCAGACATCCATTTTATATTTTTGGGCTCATCTATGAATTTGATCTTTTTCCTTATAGCACCTTACTGAGAAAACATTTGGAAAGAAACACTGTTGTTTCCTGACATACCAGTAACACGCACGCCACACCAATCTATTAAAATATTCAGGCAGTCGTGCATTATCCTTAGAAGTCTCTCTCCCAGAGAATAAGCAATCAGCTGCAAAATCAAACTGATCACAACGTCAGCAGAAAAGAGCTAAGACTGAGATATAGTGGTTAAGAAGCTGGGTTTGAAATGTGGACTTAATTATATATCTTCAGATAGACAGGTTCTTTTGTGCAGTGGCTTCTGACCCATCCTGAAATCATTGCCTACCATTTTCCTGAGACTTGTAAGGAAAAAAAATCTGATTGGATAGTATTCACCTCTGCCAAGCCAAGGCATGGACTTACTTGCTAAAGGCTTTCAGCCAGATAGTCTACTTAAGAAGCCCTCAAGTATTTTGAAGGGAAACTGGTGATTAAAAAGGAAAAAAAAAAAAAGCCTTTATTATAGGGAAACCCAGCTGCCTGGAATAAGTACAATGTTAACAATTATATATAAAATGTCTATATTATGAAGTAATGCAAAATAAATTCCTGAACATGGAGCTGATTCTAACATGATAATTGGCTATTCTGAGGCTTTTCCCGCCAGGGCATGGCAATGAAGCCACAGTAGCTTTTAACTTCACAAGAAAATTGTGTCATTTCTCAAAAGCACCTAGTCAGTCATAAACATTTATTGAACATGCTCTAGATTAGCTGCTGTGGGACTCTAAAAGGTTGTAAAATAAATAATTATTCTGAATAATTGTCAGAAAGGTATCAAGTTCTTTCTGAACCCACTTTTTCTAAATATATAATCCCCAGTGATAATTCACCATCACGCCATAGTCCCAGCCCCTTTGTTTTTCACACGATTCTGTCCTTTGGGGTTGGAACAAAGCCAGCTACAGATTTCTCCCAAGAACCTTTAATCTCCCCGACACCTGGCTTGGAACCCTCCTGACCCCGCAACTCAGGTAACCGTGCTCTCAAGCATAGCCTTGACAACCCCAAACCACCTTTCAACCAGGGACCTGGTTGAATGAAGATGTCCTTATTCCCCTCCACAAAAAATCTGAGATCGCTAATTTATGCCGAAGTGTCATTTACTGATACATCTTTCTTCAGAGGATACCTTCCGTGTAATTATTGTTTTTAATTTTCTTTTGAATGAGAACAGAGAATGGCAGCATCTCAGGCAGGAATCTTCATCGCACTCTGTGGGCTGGCTACCTAATCTGTATGACAGGCTAGTCTGTATGTAGACAGACCCTTCTATCTTTCATATTCAAGATGAGGCTGCAGATCACTCTTGGTAGAGCATGTTTTCCAGTAAGTGTAATGAGGTTGGGCTGTGTTACCCATATATTCCCACCTATTCCTCTTCATTACGCCTGTGTTGGCAGTGTAATCTTTAGAAACAGAACAGATTTTTCTCCTCTACTTTGTCCTGCTAGAATCTCCAGCTTGGAATCAGAGTGTTTCTTTACTGTTTGGGGCTTACTTAACTGGCTCTAATCCCTATCCAAGTTTCTGGGGCTCCAGGTTTCCTGGGGACTGTTCTGTAAAGTGAATAAAGCAGACCAATGATCCCGGCCTGTCTCCTCTAGCCAGCTAAGCACCCAAGGGGCACTCCTTCTTCAGGGGAGAGTCTCCTTGGATAGACGTGAGACATCTGTGCACATCACTGCATAAATATTCACTATGAGCCCTCTATGCTAGAGCGTTGTGTTTGGCTCAAGTGTTAATAGGGTGAAAAAGACATTCAGTAAATGAGTTCTCTGCAATCTGACCACAGTAAAGAACTTGCTATGAGACCTCTGGAGTTTAAATGAGGAGGCAAAACTACACCCCCCTACCTGCCGTCCATTTAGAAATACTACATGACAGAGATGAAAAGGGCCTCAGAGTTTAGCCAAGCCAGATTGGCTAGGGGATAGGGATGGATGCAGGAAGAACTGAGCACTTCATTTACCAACAAGAGAATCTCCACTTATATTCATTTTATTTTGTACTCTACTGTATAAGATTTGTTACAATGAAAGAGTTCTCTCCTAGGGATGTGTGCAAAGATATATACAAGACTATTTGCTGAAGCATTATTTGTAATAGGGAAATACTGGAAACAATCTAAATGCCCATCACTAGGATAATGTAGTCTAGTTATTTAATGGAATGCTGTAGAGCAGAGAAAATTAACAAACTAGAACTACATATATGTACACAGATAAATTTCAAATAGATAGTGTTGAGATTTAAAATACAAATTAGATGCATAAATGTATCGATTATTTGAAGTTTAAATATAAAAACAATATTGTGCATTGTTTTAGAATATACACATGTGTAGTTAAAGCATAAAAATGTAGATATGAGTGTTGCATATCAATTTCAGAGAGAGGTTTCCTCTCTCCTTCAGGGAAGGGGATTAGGTACATTGGGGATTTCAATGGTATCTGTACTATTTAAGTTTTTAATATGGTGTTATATCAGTGTTTGTCTTTTTCCATATAAAATTTTATGTCTGAAATATTTCACTATAACACTTTTAAAAAGAAACGGTTCTGTTTTTAAAAAGCTTGAAAGTCAATGAGCTACGACAAGGGGCTCAGGAATGCTGATATTTGAAGTTACAATGGTCTCCAAGCACCCCTCTGCGGCCCCTTCCAGGAGTGACCTTCTAAAGCCCATCCTGCCTCTGGAGCCTCGGATCTCCAGCCTTCGCAAGCCTATGGCAAAATGCATATTATACCCCTACCTCCATCTTTGATTCTCATTAAGTTGGTCTGAGGTTTTTATTGAGCATACCAGTGATTCTAGTGGGCATGGTCAGGATACCTTTGAGAAAGATGCTAAAGGTAAGCAAATCAAATCCCGGGAGCCCATGGTCCTTCAAACCTTTGCCACAGACTCATTGCTAATAATGATCTAAAGTAGGGGTTGCTGATCCAAGCAGCATCAGCGCTATGACATTTGTATACTTGTTAGTGATTATTCCTGTTTCATGTTCAACATCATGAACACCTTTTAAACCTGTGTGGTTTTGAAGATGGGGGTACAGGAACGGCAGATAAGATATGATGGGGAAAGTTAAAAACAAGTACTGAAAGGAAAAGATTTTTATTTTCCAAATTTAGGAGGTATTGAATTTAGATAAATGGATTTACGTTGCTACAAATGATCAGGTATGGAACAAAGAGTGTACGGTGAATTATATAAACACTCCTGGGCATTAATTGGGTAGAGATGCTGTTAAATCCTCTTGTACTCCATTATTAAGATAATACATGCTTTCGACATATCAAAAATATAGAAAATGTAAAGAAGATTATAAAAATTACCAGTAATATCATGACTGAAATATCAGTAACAGCTGCTTGTTACTTGTGAACCGGTTGATGTCAAGTTCACAGTTTGAAATTGGCAAAGGCGGAAGTATTTACACCACAGAAACAGACAAATGCTATAAACCAACTCCCTCACTTCCACCCCAGATAAGTAGTTAAATTTTTACTAGCAAAGTATTGAGCCCATCTGACTTATATGTGTATTTCCTCCCAAATTTAGATAATGCAGTTTTGAAAGTGCAGATGTATATCAGACCGAAAGTATATTCTGAGAAATATCTTGGGAAATTAACAGGAGCATCCCTTTCACATATTGAGTGCAGGGGGAGCAAGGACCTCAAGACTTCCCAGGGCCAAAGGGCATGACAGGCCATGGCCTGCCTGGCAGGAAGGTAAGTATTTCAGGACCTAAGAGAAATGCTTAGGTTTAGGATCTCAGTAGCTTAACTTGAACTCTGGAAGAGCTCTCATGCACTTGACACTCTTCTCCTTACAAAGCTCAGAGGAAAAAAAATCCATTTCAGAGTGAATCCTTATGCATTTCTTTTCCTAACTACAAACATGTTTACTTTATGAAATCTCATTTTCTTCACACTCAAAAGCCAGATGATAAGGAATAAATCCTTACAACGTACCACGAAGAAGATACCAGATAACTCGGGTGTTAACCTGTGTAACAGTTGAAGTTCCTCAAGGCAGTGAGCTAATTGGAGGGCATCTCATGGTCTCCTCACCTTGAGGTCCCGAGTTCATCATGAATTAGATTATGGTACCTGGGGGGATGTAAATAAAATGCCCCCCCATTTTTTTTCATATAGTATATTTATATCAACAAGAACCACAGGTCTTCAAGAGGTACCACAGTTGCAAAGAAATAGAACTTTAGGGTTCTTCTTATTTGGTGTTAATATTCACATTCTAAGCTTATCTTTTCATTGTATTATAAAGGGAGAACGTGGAGAACGGGGCGATGTGGGAAAGAAAGGGGATAAAGGGGAAATTGGAGATCCCGGACCCCAAGGAAAACAGGCAAGAAGTGATTTTTAACATCTTATGGTAACTGTACACAGTAACTGCTTCCAACCTACATTGACTGTTACTCTTCTTCCACTAAGTAGGGGTTACAGGGTCCAAGAGGAGACCGAGGACTGACAGTGAGTATCACTCCTGGAGGGTAATTGAGGGGTTTGTGCTCACAAAATGATTGCATTTGTGTTTTAGCTTTAGAAGTGACTTCTTTTGACACAGAATTAGTGCTGACATAGATGCAGGAGGTAACTGAACCCGAATGTGAGGGAGACATAACACCCAGCGCCCTTATCCAGCCTTGTGGTAGAGATGTAACTGCCCACCCGCGGGTAGAAAGGTTAACAAGGAGGTGAACTGTTTCAAAGAAGCCAAATGAGCAAGGGACTTTTTCTTGTACATGATCCTTCACATTTCAGCACGCGGGCTCTTTTTCTCCTGAACTAGTTCCTTTAAGAAGTGCTCTGAGGACAACAGCAATCACAAAATTGGGATTACTTTTCTGTACTGATTCACCTATTCAACAAATATTTGTGATGATGTACAAACTTTCCCCGTTCTTCTCTCTTTTGTTCTCTTTTGTTTGCACCACTACAAACAAAAAGCTGACCCCTGAAAGTCCCACAGGATGGGAAAGTTCTAGAATTTCTATAGCAAAGTCTACTTCTTCCTTTCTAACATTGAGACACTACATCTCCTGGAGTTGAGGAGAAATAGGGACCTTCTCTTACCCCCACCTTTTTTTAAAATTGGGGTATAGTTGTTTTACAATGTTGTGTTAGTTTCTACTGTACAGCGAAGTGAATCAGCCATATGTATACATATATCCCCACTTTTTTGGATTTCCTTCCCATTTAGGTCACCACAGAGCACTAAGTAGGCTTTTTCCCTTTTTGATTCTTTGGTGGGTCATGGTCTGGGGATGTTGACCTTATGTATAGTGCCAGGAAAACCCAGGGGTGGGAGTTCAAGTGGTGAAGACGAGAGCTGGACATGTGACAAACAGAACTGTGCATGGTATTATGGCCCATCTGCCTTTTTCTCTTTGTTGTTCCCCACCAGAAGTCAGACCCTCCCCAGATGCCTATGGAGGATGAAGCAGCTATATATGCAGCAATTTCTCCCTAAAGTAGCAGAGGAGGGTATATGTAAAATGCCCAGAGGAATGTTTCCCATAGGCTTATACCCTCCCTCCTGTCCCAACATGGAGAGGGGAACTGGTTTCCTTCATCCATGCAGTTGTTCATTCACTTCACCAACATTTATTGGGCACCTACCCTGGGTCAGGATCTAAGACAGGCACTGGGGGAATAGTTGAGAGTAAGAGGCTATGTCTCTGGACTCAAGGAGCTCACAGCCTAACAAGAGAGAAAGACAAGCAAAGGATGTTCACCTATAGTTTGATAAATGCTGTGATAGAAGTGATATGTGGATCCAGAGCAGACAAAATCAGGTATGGTTTGATGCCAATTCTCTTTTCCTTCACTCTTCCCTTGTAGCATTTAGAAAGCCAAGGTCAGCATTAAATGAGATTCTTATATGTGACAGGCTCCTTCATATCAACACCACCCTGACCCAGTACTGCAGGGTGCCTGGGGGGCCCATGTAAAGTACGGCCCCCACTCTGGACCCCTGGACTTCTAGTCCTTCTCCAGTTACACCCCTTCCCCCAGGTGAGGAGTGACCACCCTGAGCGCACGCCCCCCTCTGTACTGCATTCTGGATACACAGGGTCTCAGAATTGCCCCAAATGTCCCAAGTTTGGAAGCTGACAGCACTGACCTGTATGCACGAGGTGGCCAAGGGGCAGGCATCTGGGGGGATTTGACAGAGCTTGGATTCACCTCGTAAGTGCTGGCTAAGGCCCGGTGCAGCACAGGGCCGGTGGGGAGAGGGTGCAGGGAGAAGGGGACAGGGTATAAGCGGCGGCCTCCTCTCGCCCAGAACCCACATGAATCCACATGACAGCCCATGAGGTAGGTAGTAGTGTCTTCCCTCCAGATAAAGGCACACCAAGTCACACAGAAAGCTTGAACGATACGCCCCAAGACACCTCAATAACAAGTACCAGAGCCCTTAGATAGAGCCAAAGCTGGCTTGTCTGACGCCAAATCCCGGCTGCTCCCCCATGAAGGCCGTTCTTGGAAGGCACCTTTCCTCTCCCCAACCCCATTCTCTCCCGGATCAAATATATTCCCAAACACTCTCAGTGGCAGATTCAGTCCAGACTAACAAAGCCCTCTTTTAACAGGCAAATTCCATTGATGGAGTTCAGGTTTTTAATCATTCACACCAAATTGCTTCAGAAAGACTGTTTCTCCATGTGTCCCTTAAATGTCAGTGTTTCCCAGTGTCTGCCCTCAGCCTTTTCTTCCCAGTCTTCAAACCCTCAGGGAGGGACAGCTATCCAAGTCAGGGGGATGGGGCTTTCCTGGTGGCGCAGTGGTTGAGAGTCCACCTGCCGATGCAGGGGACACGGGTTCGTGCCCCGGTCCGGGAGGATCTCACATGCCATGGAGCCGCTGAGCCTGCACGTCCGGAGCCTGTGCTCCGCAACAGGAGAGGCCACAACAGTGAGAGGCCCACGTACCGCAAAAAAAAAAAAAAAAAAGTCGGGGGGATGAACAGTTTGAAAAGGCTAATTTAATATTACAGTAAAGTTCTATGGAGAATGAAAAAACCTTTTTATGTTATAAATATAGAAAAGAATATGCTTGACAAAAGGGGGTAGGGAGGGGTTAAAAAAGGCAGAGAAGCTCTCCTCCACACAATCTCATCTGCCATCCCTGTTTCAACAGCCAACTGTACACTGGCATTTCTTCAATCTGCCTCCAGCTTGAACCCCTCTCCTGTGCACCAGACCTCACATCCTACTGCCTACTGGACATCGCCAGCTGGGTGTCCCACAGGTGCCTCAAACCCAGCCAGAATCAAGCTGAACCAGTGACCTTCATTAGCTTCAACCTGCCGCTGTTCCATCCCTCCCTATCTCAAAGAGCGGCGCCGTTATCATTTGCCTCCTAGACTCCTTTCCCTCATCCTTCCTTCCAGTTACTCACCAACCCCCTTCACCTCCTTTTGAAATGTCCCTCCAGGTCATTCCTTCCCATCCATCAATACCACCACGGCTTCCTAGTGTTATCTTCTTTGCCTGAACTATACAGGAACCTCAGACCCCTCCACTGGCTGCCACAATCACCTTTCTTCTCTGCTACGGACCATGTCTCTTCTCAGTGCTCAGGATAAGTCCACACTCTTCAGCATGACACAAAGGCTCTAAAGTCCATCTGTCTTTCACATTTCCTGTCATTCTTTCAGTCACGTTCCCTGAGCCACAAGTTTAATCAAGTACTCCAGTGCACTACACTTTGTATGCTCCATCCTCTGCCTGGAAAGCTTTTTCTCCTCCTCTCCCCACCCCACCCCAGTCAGAGTCTGCCTAATGTCCCTGGACCACAGGCCCACACCCACTCTCCCATCCCTGGTATTGCCGGCAGACCAGCGTGGTTCCTTAGCTCCAAGCCAATAGAATAGTACTTACAAAAGTATTTATTTATTTGCCTCCTTCTTACTAGACTCATGTAAACATGAGTCCTTTGAGGGGTATAAACTTGATGCCTTCATCATTGGCACTGAGTAGCCAACATGGTCATTCAGCAATTTTAATGGAAAGGGTGAAACTATTCCAGTGACTTAAAAGCAAAGAATACAAGGAAAAGATTTATATACACACACACACACACACATATATATATGACTACTTAAAGCATATTAGACCTAGTTATGCCATAAAAGCACAGTGAAAAGAATTAAAATGCAACCTTGATATATAAATTGCTCTTACAAGTCAAGAAAAGACAAACATTCTAATAGAAAGAAACGGACAAAAGAAAGACTGTGCATAAGAGAATACAACTTGGAAACATACATATAAAATTCAGCCTCACAATAGTAAGTGTAATTTAAAACAATGAGATATTTTGCTCTATCAAGTGGCAAAGATTATATAATAATAATAATAACCAGTGTTGTGTCTCCAAAACAAAACGGGTTTTCTTATATACTGTTGTTAGAGGCGTCAGTTACTACAACTTTTCTGGAGGATTGTAAGGCAGTCTGCATCAAGAACCTTAAAATGGCCATGCATCTGACATCAGTAATCAAGTTTTTCAGAATACTTAATAATACGGGCAATTAATTACTACATAATGTTAAGTGAAAAACTATAATCATAAAACTTAGTGAAAAGTATTTTCTCCACTTGTAAAAAATTAAACACAAGTATATTAAATACATAACATTTCCCTTTCCTAGATAACAATATAAATATATTAATAGACATTTCCCCTTTCCAGACATACTCTAGTTTCAGATTTATTAAATGTCTCTCTAAATGTGGAAAAGCATGACAAAGCCTAAAAAAAAAAGGTAACTGTTGACTCCTTCATTTCATATAATTTTTAAAATCTCTCATTGGGAGTTCTTTTTGTATAGCCACTTGAAATCATTGGCTTTTACTCAATTTACAGAAAAAGAAATTAAATTAAAATGCCCTGAATATTCTCTGTACATGCTTCTGTTAAGCCATGTTACCGTCTATGTCACCTTTACCTCACTTCTGTCATTATAGGTTTTCTCCTTTAAAACTTTACTTTTGCAACTGTTACATTGTATCTTCTTAGAACAGGTCCACTGCTCTTTCCAGTTGAGATTTTCTGGGCTTCTGCTTCTCTCATCTGTTAAGTTAATCATCCCTGTCAGCTTCATGTCTTTGGCAGATGTAGAATCCTGACTTCTCCAGTCTCATCCCATGGCATTTGTAAACATGCCATGCAGGGCAGGATGTTGGCACATTGATTCCTAGTACCCAGCTCATCTCAGGCCCTTCTGATGGAGCTGGTGAGCAGTGGGACCTGGAAGCAGCAACCAGGAACCCAGGGAGGTTTCATGGAAGAGCCCAAGTGAGGGTATTAGGAAACTGGAGAGAAGACTTGCAAATTTGGGGATTGGTACAGAAAAAAAGGAGGGAATACAGCATTGGATGAGATCCCTTTGGGCCCTGGTGCTTGTCCTGGTTTGTCAGCACATGTGGGTTAAACCATGTAACTGAAAGCATACATTGCCCACACCGTTGTTGTCCTCAGAATCTGCAGGGGATTGGTTCCCAGACACGCCCACCACGCCCAACCCAGTAGGTACCAAAATCCGTGGATGCTCAAGTCCCGCATATAAAATGGCGCAGTACAGTCAGCCCTCCGTATCATGGATGCAGAACCCATGGCTATGGAGGGCCGACTGTAAGTATTACATCTTTTGTGGGGCCAGACCCTGTGTGTGTGTTACCTCATTTAATCCCACCACATCCCTGAGACACAGACACTGTTAGGTCACTTCATGCCCATGGTCACACAGCTGATAAATACTGGAGCTGCAATTTGAACTTCAAGTCTGAGTTATTACATTTCACAGCTCAAACACATTTCAATTCTGATATATTATAGGCAACTTTTAACCTCTGTGCTATGTATTATTTATTTATTTATTTATTCAATTTATTTATTTTTTGCTGTGTTGGGTCTTTGTTGCTGCGCGCGGGCTTTCTCTAGTTGTGGCGAGCGGGGGCTACTCTTCATTGTGGTGCACGGGCTTCTCATTGTGGTGGCTTCTCTTGTTGCAGAGCATGAGCTCTAGGTGTGTGGGCTTCAGTAATTGTGGTTCATGGGCTCAGCAGTTGTGGCTCGTGGGCTCTAGAGCGCAGGCTTAGTAGTTGTGGAGCACAGGCTTAGCTGCTCCACAGCATGTGGGATCTTCCCGGACCAGAGCTCGAACCCGTGTCCCCTGCACTGGCAGGAGGATTCTTAACCACTGTGCCACCAGGGAAGCCCCTGTGCTATGTATTTTATTTGCAGTGGAAGGATTAAGTCAAATAGCCCAATGCTGATTATAATAAGACATACCTTTCATGACTATAGGAAAAAATATGGTCACACAATTAATACATTTTCCTCTTTTCCTCCAGAAAGAAGAAATCATCAAGCTTATTTTTGAAATATGTGGTAAGATTTGACGACCAAGAAAAAACCCATCACTTTAAAGTACCAACCCCACTATGTTCTGTGTTGTCAAGATAATGTGCTCACCCAGAATATGTATACTGTAGAGCTCGTGGGAAAGTTTCAAGCTCATTTTCAGTTTCTGTGGGAAACTGAAAGGAAGCAGTGTGAGGGGATGTGGGAATCCTGATTTAAGAAAAGAAAGTCATTTTCCCAGGGTAGTTAAGAAGTGTGAAGATAGTTGGGTCTGTGGGCAGCCAGGCCTTTTGTTAGCACAGAGCTCATCTGTATTCAGTGACATTTACCTGAACCTGAGAAGGAAAGAACAACAAAGGAGGCAGGACTACAGGGGCCTAACTGGTGTGTGAATCCAGCCTAGCTGGTGATGATAATGTCTGTGTTTTTCCTGAAGCAAAAAGTCTTTCTAAATTGAGTTTTGAGCCCTACGTCTAGAGCGCCTGCCGCTTCAGAGGCAAAAGGACAGAGTCCAGAGGTCATCTTGTGTCACAACTCTATCTAAATGCTTCTATGGCGAAACAGACTTAAAACAGAGTTACCAGAACAAGGAAGTAAAGCAAAAAGGCTAGCCAAAAGGCAAGCAGTTAATGGATAATGAAGGTAACTTCTGTGTTGAAAACGGACAGAGGCAGGAATATCATTATCCTTCCATACAGAGAACCCCAGAACTGACTTGTCCCCCAGAAGACTTCCGGACCTTAAGAAGCAGCCTGGGACTCTCTATGGTGACAGGCCGATTTAGACACTGCTTCTGAGTTCTAGAAGCGCTGTAAACTAGCAGCCAGTTTCCTGAGGATTTATCGTGGCAGGGCTGCTGGGCAACATGAGGATATGAATACACCAGTGGAACCCTGATAATTTTTATTGCCAAGGAACTCTGGCAACTGCTTTGAATGATAAACCCTAAACAGACGTTGTTTACTGACCAGTGTTCTGAGATCATTTCCCTGGAACAGTTTCACAGTATGGATGGACTGCTGGCCTCCTTGATAAGATCGGAGCCACTTTAGTGGTCACTAAGGGCGTGACTGGGGACATAAACCAGAGTAGCTAGGGGCCGCTACTCTTGGGTCCAGTTAAAGACCTGAATCCTTCCCCCACAATTAAAATGTTTCATCCCATTACTTTACCCATTGGCCACGCCAATGAGCAAGTATTCATTTTCACATAAGGATATGGTTGAAGACTGAAATATTAGCATTCAGATTCCAATTAAATACAAATGGTCGGATGATAAAGGGCAAATTTAGGATGGTGGTTATCTCTTATGGAGGAGGGAAATGGAATCAGGAAGGCATACACAGGGATGCTGAATCTTTTAAAAATACTATTTTAGGGCTTCCCTGGTGGTGCAGTGGTTGAGAGTCCGCCTGCTGATGCAGGGGACACAGGTTCGTGCCCCGGTCCAGGAAGATCCCACATGCCGCGGAGCGGCTGGGCCCGTGAGCCATGGCCGCTGAGCCTGCGCATCCGGAGCCTGTGCTCTGCAACGGGAGAGGCCACAGCAGTGAGAGGCCCAAGTACCACAAAAAATATATATATATACTATTTTATTTTTTAATCTTAGAAATTGGCTGTTTATTGTTTTATCCTCTACAGCGTTTTGGTTTTTTGTGTGGGGGGAGGGTTGTTTTTTTTTTGCGATATATCATTTTTTTAAAAGTCAGGTATAGAAACCAGAAGGGAGACAAACGTCAGCTGTGTTCACGGTCACAGAAAAGGAAGGTTACAATCTAGTCTTAGGTTCATCCTTGCCCCTCTCCCCCCTCCCCCTACCCGCCTGATATCAATCAGTGATGTTTTAATTTTCAACCCCACTGTGTTTCTATGTCAACATTCGTGTTTCAGGTTGTGGGCGTAAATGCAGAGAGGCACCGCTAGAGCTGCTGTTTGTGATTGACAGCTCAGAAAGTGTGGGACCGGAGAACTTCCCGATTATCAAAACTTTGTGAAGACTCTGACTGACAGAGTTGCACTGGACCTTGCCACGGCCCACGTAGGCATAATCAACTATGGCCATAAGGTAGAGGAGGTGGATCATTTGACGCAGTTCTCCAGCAAGGACGACCTCAAGCGGGCCGTGGACAACATGCAGTATCTGGGAGAAGGCACCTACACAGCCACAGCTCTCCATGCCGCCAACCGCATGTTCGAAGCCGCAAGGCTGGGTGTGAAGAAGGTGGCCTTGGTCATCACTGATGAGCAGACAGATAGGCGAGATGAAAAGAATCTGACAGAGGTGGTGAAGGATGCCAGTGACATCGATGTGGAAATATTTGTGATTGGGGTGGTGAAGAGAAATGACCCCAACTTCAAGATGTTCCACAAAGAAATGAATCTAATTGCTACCGACCCAGACAGTGAGCACGTTTAATCTATTTGATGACTTTGTTACCCTTCAAGGTAAGACAGCTCCAGCGGAAAGGAATTCACACTGTCCTTCCAAGTACCACATCACGGGATTATCCTGACCAAAAATGAAAATCAAGAGGCCAATGAGGCGTATACTGGCATTAAATTGTAACACAGAAACTCTGGAAGACAAAGACGTTTAGTATTTCATTCAGGGAGTACAGTCCCTTGTCTTTACTCATTTGTAGTAAGTGCTGAGTTGGCCCTGGAGTTGTTTAACTCGGGTAGCTGCAATTGAAGGACTAAAAAGAAAGGACAGGATCTGGGGGCATTGCTAAGATTAGTTCATGTTCTAAAAGTTACCTAACTTGGATAAGAGATGGAGCAAGCCAGCAGCAAAGCAGAAAATAATCATAGAATCAAAATGAATTAAGAAGTGCAGAATGAGTGGAAAACAGAAATGGTAATCTAAAGAGATGAGGTAACTGGGATTATTCTCTTCTATTCTCTATTCTCTGTTCCTATGAAAACAGATAATGAAGAGTAAACAAGTTGACGTCAGGAGTTTATCTTAAAGAACAACATGCTAAATATTCCTCATACACTCAGTGCTGATCTGATGGCTTTCCCTATGCTGCTTTACCCTTCACGTGAACTGACATTTCCTGACGAGCCATGCCAAGACACTGACTCACAGTGATTGGGAGTGATCGGCATCACTTTACAATGAAACACTCCAGTTCTTTGGAGACTGATAACACATTTTGGCAAGGCCCACACCCAGAAAGCTTGTGAAATAAGTAAAATTTACACTTAATGTGTTTGCAGGCCTCAGTTTGACCCCATCCTTCCTTCTCCACTCATCTGGGAGCAGGGCCTGACATGGCCTCATGCTGTTCCCAGCCTACCCCAGGTACCAGCACGCCTGGCCCTAAGGAGAGCAGACCACGCTCAGAACCTTCCCACTTTCCCTCTTTCTCCAGACCTTTCTAACCTGGGCTCCCATTTCCTTAACACCCTATTGGGCGACTGGTCTGTTCAATCTCACTGGGCTGTTAATGTGTTCGAATTGCCAGCAATATTACACATTTCAGAGACATGTTATATTTTAATCATTGAAGAGCTTTATCATCTTAATCAAAGGAGTTACTAATTTGTTCTAGGCAATGAGGGATATATTTTTGGACTGGCTGGCTTTTTGCAATTCCCAAAACCAGAGGTAATTGCCTGTTAAAATTATTATGGGTTAGACTTGCCCCTTCCACAGAGTAGTTCACAGATAACAGACAGACACTTTGCATAACAAGCATTTAAGTCATTCTTTTGCCTATTTGGGCCATCGAATATTATTAAATTAAATTAAATAATTAAATTATTTTAGATGGCCTCTTACAGATGAGGTAAAAATGCGCTTAAAATTTCGTTCCCCTAGTGGTTGACTTCAAGTGATGGGGAAGTGTCTGTTTACTTTAAGGAGAGTGCAAAAGGTTTCTCTTTTTTTTTTTTTTTTTTTTTTCGGTACGCGGGCCTCTCACTGTTGGGGCCTCTCCCGTTGCGGAGCACAGGCTCCGGACGCACAGGCTCAGCGGCTATGGCTCACGGGCCCAGCCGCTCCGCAGCATGTAGGATCTTCCCGGACCGGGGCATGAACCCGTGTCCCCTGAATCAGCAGGCGGACTCTCAACCACTGCGCCACCAGGGAAGCCCCCAAAAGGTCTCTTTAAACAGATTTTAAGTAATGTTTCATTGCTCCTCCTGTTCCCTTTTCTACTTCTCTTTTAAAAGATAGATACCCTGAGGCAAAAATTGTTTAAAAAAAGTTGTGAGGATTTTGAATCCTACCTCTCATATTTTGGGTTCACCACTGTTTCAACCTGGATTTGGGATATCGGGGGAAGAACTCACTGAATCCGCTCCAGAACCCCGGAAAGAAATTTCTGAGTCTGTAAGTAACTGTCTTGCTTAATTTGTGAGCCTAAAATCATGTATTCAGTCTGTTTTACATCAAAGACAACCTTGCCCCACGCTGTCGAGAATCAACTGAGGTATGGATGTTTTCAGGTCCTTGGCTCTAAATAGCAGGCTTTTGTCTCCAGATTTCTAGTTCTGAAATAGCTCTGGGGCTTATGAGCTTGAATATGAGATTTTTTAATATTTCCATATTTTATCATTATTTATTAAATGTTACAAATAATATTTTTATATTACATCCCTGCCACCACCAAAAGTAATCATGTACATTAGAACAGATTAATACTATACTATTTGAATCACCCCCTTGCAACATTGGCAGATCTTTCTGTATGGGGTCACAATTCTCCCTCATCTGTCTGTGTATCCACTCCCCACTTTGCACCCTCTCAAGTTTCTTCCAAGTGCACACATGCTCAGCCTGCACTCTCCCACCTTCCAATCCACGCTCTTGTTCATTGAGCTTCCCCTGCCTGTGCCCAGAGGGGGGACAGGGAGGGAAACTATGCATGCATATCGCACAAGGTGGGTGCTTCGTTTCAGAACTCCCCAATCACCTGTGCGTGAGAGAACTACCTCCTGAATGTATTGAGACAAATGTGATCGTCCTTAGAGCAAGCTTCTGGGAACTGACTTCAGCCAATCAGGTCACAAGCAACTGTTAGTTTCTTTTAGGTGAAAACTGGAGAGCCTCTCATAGTTACTGGTAAGTGAGTGTTGTAGTCTCTTCCCCACCAAGTTACAACCAAAGCAGCTGTGGACTGAGGTTCACTACATGTATGGACATCGTCTAGCAATCAGGCACACAGCAGTGTCCCTATTTTGTACGCTCAGTGAAGTCCCTGTGCTGTCCTTTTATGAAGGCTTCATAGACACGAAAGATTCATTTTGAGCCAGTGCAACAGTATTCAAGCATCAGGATTCAGCTAACTGTATAGTTGGACTAAGGCCTTGAGAAACCTCCAGATCAGTAGGTGGATGCAGAACCATTCAGGAGTCAGGCCTAGGATGCCATTCCTACGGGGACAAGATTACAGGACTCACAAGATTTTTATATTATGTTCAAAAAGGGACAGAAAGGTCTCTAATATATTTCTATTTGATTAAATACAAACCGACTTCGAGATGGGACATTCCAATTAGGGCAACAGACTGCCCCTGGATTGTAGACTGAAATTCACACACGCATTTATATCACATGGTCTATAACAGGGGGTCAACAAACCCCTCCTGTAAAGGGCCATATAGTAAAGATTTCGGGTTTTGCAGGCCATTTGATCTCTGTTGCCATGACTCAACTCTGCCTTTGAAATGCAAAAGCAGCCATAGCCAGTACTTCAATGAATAAACATGGCTGTGTTCGGATAAGACTTATTTCCCAAAACAGGTGAAGACGCAGATTTGGCCCATGGGGATTTGCCAACTCTGGGTTTTACTGAGCATTTCAAAGTAAATTACAGACAGTAATGTGCACAGTCCATCTCCTCCTGCTTGTGTGAGTTACCCCTTTGTTCTTCCCTTAGTCAACCCATGTCCCTTTCTAAAAACTTCCTACACAAGAGCAAACTCAGGTTTCACCCAGCAAGTGGTGCCTAAACGGAGCTCTCCTCATAATCAATGAATTCCAGTGGCATGTATTGATCATTTACTGCAGTGCTCAGGGGTGGCTCTTAGGACACAGTTCCTGCCCAGGAGAAGTCCGTGGTCTCTCAGTGATCGGATAAGTACAAGAGGTATTAAGAACTTCAGCAGACCTATGGATGAAGCTCGAGAGACGGTGCACTTAAGTTCAGGGCAGAGTAATGGAAGCCTTTACAGAGGAGGTGGTGTTGAGCTGAGTTTTAAGACTAAGTAAGTGTTTTTCAAGGCAAGAGTAGGGGGAAGCGTATTTCCAAGAAAAGGGAACATGTGGGAGCTAAAGGGGAAATCCAAAGGGAATGGCATTTTAAGAAATGAGGACAAGTTCAATCTAACTGGAGCCAAAGTTATATCTGGCAGTAGGGTGAGAGTTAAAACTGGACAAATAATTTGAGGACGAATTATAAATGGCTTCATGTGTCAAGCTAAGGAACTTGAACTTCATCCATAGGCCAGGCAACCAGGAGAAAGCAGGAGAGTCTTAAAAGCAAGGGTCGTATGGTCACATTTGGTTGCACTATGAACGATAAAGAGAAGGAGGCGGGGAGAGGAGACTGGAGGTGGGAAAAGAGGAGTAATGGTCCAGGTGAGAGATAATGAGGCCTTAAACTAAGGCAGGGGCCATTGGAATAAAGGGACACGTGGATTGGAAAGCCATTTCTGGGGTAGAATGAACAGGATTTAGTGACTGAATGGATTGGAGGTTAGGGAGAGGGTTTGGGGAGGACGGTTGTATCTCTAGCTTGGAGATGGGGTGAACTGAAACACCATCCACTGAGATGGAGAATATAGGAGTCAGGGTAGGGTTCTTTGAAGGAAAATAATGGGCTTATTTTGTACCAAAGCGGAGGTGGCTGAGGGGCATCCAAGGCAACGGCACAGAATGAGACAACAGCCCGTGCCTCTGGTGTCATGACGCAGGAAGTTAGATGCCCTGAGAGAAAAGTGATGTTAACAGGTTATGACAGAGGAAGCATTCTAGTAGCTGGGGAGGGGAGGGCATAAGAAGAGGACATCCAAAATAGTTTAGATTTGTAACACCAAGAGTCACAGGGTGGGTATCAGTTGGATCTCCCTAGGGGCCCTCTGACTGAGATAGTGGGAACTTGTAATGAACTTGAACTTGGAAAGTCCCTCTTGTCTCTATACCTTCTCACCCTGTCTCTCTTTGCACAAGCACCGAAGTAAGAGTGAATTTTTTAAAATGAACGATCCTAAAAGATATTTAGTCTGAACAAACATATATGCATTTATATTCACATTTTAGATCGGTCATACGTATATATAATGTACACACACACATAAATACAAAAACATATGTATGTATCTGTGCATGCACACCCACCTTTATCTAAAAGTATAATTATAGTATCGAAACACCTAAAGTAACATGAATCTGTCAAAACCTTTCAATCCTCAGATTGTTCCCAAGCCTACCCTAGGCAATACTGCAAAATAAATAATCTCAGGAGCCCTGTTTCCCTTTTTGCGTCTCTATTTCCTCTCTGTTGTCTCTTCTATCACTCCTTAAGACACCTAGCTCTGTATTCCTTCTTCCTCTCCTTTCTATCAAAATCTGTTTTGAGGGGAAAATCTGGTATCAGTTATTACACTTTTGTGAGAAATCTAAGCCAATGGGTTGATTTAAGTCAAGAAGGGCTTGCATTTGAACTATTTTATCTAGTTGTGGAATGAACATGATGTACACTATACATCAACAAACAGATGTATTGGGAAATATGGAAAGCAGAAGGATTTCCCAGGTTCCACTAAATTCATAACGCTTTGGCAATCCCAGCTCTGTTGCCTTTTCAGGCCAGTCTTGAGAAGCTAAATGTGTACATCCATTCTATTCTGCCTCTTTCCTGAAATCTCAGGATAGCTTATACTTTCTTCTGGGATTTATCACATTTTAACATCGTTAATACTTATTTTTGTATGTACCTTAACTTTCCTGATGGATTTAAATTCCTTGAGGACATCTGTGTCTAATTAAACTTTGTGTCTCTCAGGACCTAAAACTGTGCTTCGTCTTGCACACAGTAGATGCTCAATAAATACTTATGGACCAAACCAAGGCTATACCAACTGTTAGAAAAAGAAATCTGAAGATTTCCTTCGGTGAAAGGCATCAACTATACCATCATTAACAAGATTGTATACATAAAAAAATCCTTATCTTTTATGGGACTAACAATGTTGGTACTTGATGTTCCTTTATTCTTTCTGGGTGTGGCCTGTTGGGGAAAGATTTCCCAGATATAAATGGGAAGAGGGCAATTAAATCAAGTAAACATCATTTAATCAGACCAAGTGGCTACATCCAGTAATGGCCCATTAGGCAAATAAGTATATGGATTTCATATATGAAGTCACTTTTTGTCATTCTAAATGTATTCATAATTAATGTCAATGCAAAGAGCGTTTACTCACTGAAGCCAGTTTCTTGTAACAGTATTGCAGATTTCTTTCCCCCTTGAAAGAGCAGAAAGAAGCCCTGTCTACCCTTTCCATAAAGGTTCTTTTTTGTATTATGAAAAATTGTCCCCAGATTGCAAATAACTTAGATAACTGGCAGCAGAAGTTTTTTTCTCTCTGTAGAAAGGAGGCTGTGGGATTCCTATGAGGAGTGATTCCACAGCAACACAGTGAAGGTGACAGCCAAGCTGGTGTGGCAAGAGTCCCTCTGAGTAGCTCCTGCATGAGGTGGAGAGGCATGGTGGAGGCCAAGGGGGAACTCAGAGTCCCCTCCTTCTATTTAATATGGTCCTGATGTATAGTCCAATGCCAGCCTTAAGCCGAGCATGCCGGTTCCTCATTTCTATGGAAGAAGTGGATGTTCTGTATAGATGTAAATTACAGAAAACTAACACAGCAGGCTGACTTTGCTGGCTGTCCTGCCGTCCCCTTGTCCATCCTCTCTTTTAGTGAGACCCTATCCCTGGTCCCCATTCCACGGGCCGCATTTCTCCCCTCCTTTCATTATCACACAAGCTGCTCAAAGATCTCCATCTCCATTTTCAGTTTTTCCATCTCTTCCATCTCTTCCTCTCAATGCCCCACAACCCTTCTGTGTTCTCACTCCATCTCAAGATCCATCTAAAGAGGGCCACTTCTGAAACCAGGGTTCCACCGGCAATTTCTTCGAGAACCGGAGCCTTAGGCAGGTTCTGCCTTGATAATGGACTTGGATGTGTCCCTTCATCCTCAGACCTGACCATGGGCTCTGTCCTCAACTCTGATGTGACACCTGCTTGTCCCCTACTGTGTTCTGAGGCCACTCCCTTCTGCCTCTTCCAAGACCAGGATCTTCCTTCCCTGTGGTACCCTTTCCTG